GCGCGCGGGCGCGCGAGCTTGGGGGGCCGTATCCGGGCCTCGCCGGGCCGGCGGCGGGAGCGAGCGGCGGCGTGAACCAGACGGCGACACGTGGCAGCGGCAGGGCGACCCGGACGTGTCCGGCTGCGGCCGGACGTGTCCGGTGGCGGCGGAAGGGGAATTCGCTAGGGTTTCGTCCGGAATTCGGGGGAGGGGTCTATATATAGAGGTAGAGGGAGCTAGGAGTGTCCAAATGGGGTGTAGTTTTCGCCCACACGATCGTGATCGAACGACCGAGAGCATGGTGGGGAGTTAGATGGGTTATTGGGCTGTTTTGGAGGGGTGTTGGGCTGCAACTTAAAAGAGGCCTTTGCGAGAGTGCGGTTAACCGTTGGAGTACCAAACGAGCTCCAAATGACCCGAAACTTGACAGGTGGTCTACCGGTGCTATACCAGGGACACTTGGCAAGGCTCGGTTCATTCCAAGAACGTTCAACACCCGCACACGAGAGGAGGCAAGAGGGGTGCGCCGGTGCATGTGGGAGTGTCGGATTGCGAAACGGACAACGGGGAAAATGCTCGAATGCATGAGACGAACACGTATGCAAATGAGATGCACATGATGACATGATATGGTATGCATGACATGAATAAAATGCAAGAACAAAAGACAAAACCCAACCACGGAGGGAATATCATATCACATAGCCGAAAATGGCAAGAGTTGGAGTTACAAAGATGGAAAGTTACATCCGGGGTGTTACAACACTCCACCACTACAAGAGGATCTCGTCCTGAGATCTAGGACTGAAAGAACTCCGGATATTCGGAACGGAGGTGATCCTCGCGCTCCCAGGTGGCTTCTCGGTCGGAATGGTGTGACCACTTCACTTTCAGGAATTTGATAGACTTGTTGCGAGTCTTGCGCTCGGTTTCTTCAAGAATAGCAACGGGATGCTCATGATAAGAGAGATCTTCTTGGAGGTCGATTTCTTCGAAGTTGATAGTGCGCTCAGGAGTCTTGAAGTACTTGCGAAGCTGTGACACGTGAAACACATCGTGCACGTTTGCAAAGTTGGATGGAAGCTCAAGTTGATAGGCAAGGTCGCCTCTTTTGCCAATGATCTTGAAAGGACCCACGTATCTAGGGGCAAGCTTCCCTTTGATACCGAAGCGACGAGTGCCTTTCATTGGAGAGACGTGGAGGTAGACATGGTCTTCAATTTCAAAAGCCAAGTCACGGTGCTTGCTATATAGTAACTCTTTTGGCGCGATTGCGCGGCTTTGAGATTCTCACGAATGACTTTGCACATTTCTTCGGCTTCTGTGATCAAGTCGTTGCCAAGAAGTTGGCGTTCACCTGTCTCAGACCAGTTGAGAGGAGTATGACACTTTCTGCCATAGAGAATTTCGAATGGGGCCTTGCCCGAACTCGCTTGGAAGCTGTTGTTGTAGGAAAACTCGGCATATGGAAGACAATCTTCCCACTTCATACCGAAAGAGATGACACAAGCCCTGAGCATATCTTCAAGGATTTGATTGACTCGCTCGACTTGGCCACTTGTTTGAGGATGGAAAGCTGTACTGAAACGAATGTTGGAACCCATAGCCGTCTGAAAGGAGTCCCAGAACTTAGAAGTGAAGATGCTTCCACGATCTGAAGATATCAATTGTGGAATGTCGTGCAAGGAGACAATCCTGGAGGTGTATAGCTCTGCGAGCTGAGCTGCTATGATAGATTCTTTGATA